AAACAAAAAAACATTTGAAATGAATTTAGGAGGTTTAGGGATTATACAAAGGAAATTTAAGATTTTTGAGATGAGGAAAAGTATTTTTAGTTTTAACATGAAAATTGCTTTGCACACAGACTATTCAAAACAAATACTCATTATATTAATGGATAAACCTTTACTTTATTGAAAACAATTCACTAAAAATATAATTTTTGTATGAGAAAGACTTATAATATGAACTGAAAGACTGCTAAATTTTGTGAAGATATACATACTATATTGAAAGTTAGAAATATTACATCTATAAAGACTTTAATCAAGTACAAAGAGGTCACGTGGTCGGTCAATTTGACCGAGCATGTGTTGAGAGAGTTAAAAAGCATATTTGAAACACTATAGTAAAGAAAAAATTAACTCACCACCCATACAGGATTTGATTCTTCTGGAAACATCTGGAAATACTTCTCTGCCAACTGGATAGGAGGAAGAGTGGAGAGGTGCAAGTTTGTCCAACACTGAATGAACTTGATGACAGATTCAAAGGTATACAGAGCTAGTCTGTCATTTCCATAATTAGATAAGTGTGTCATGAAAACGTTGATCTAACAAACAGCAATATAAAGTACACACTGACATATATTGACAATGGGAATAATATTAACAATTAAACATTCAAAATGATGTTAGACCAAACACTACTTGTATTTCAAGTTTTAAAAATATACTTGTCATTTTCATGCATAACATTAATACAATCCAACAAACTTTTTAAAACTTGTAACAGCAGTATCTAAAATTTAAAGCATAAATCTACAGAGGAAAAAATATACATACCCATTTTAATACCAATCTAAAAAACATAATTAGCCTTAAGTTAAAAATTACAGATGAAAGTGTGATCAAATGTAGTTACAAAATAAAAGAAAGTAAAATCACATCTTGTCTTCATTGTTATGTACGTATTGAAATAAACCTAATGATCAGTGCTTCAAGTGGGGTAGGATGAGATGGAACGTCATCCAATATTTTATCCAGAGGGCCCGAAACCATCCCACTACCTTTTAGTAGACTTCAAACTGCCCTACTACTTTTACACTTGTTTAGGTCTACACTAAATATCTTCCCTTCCTTCTCACTTTTGTACCAGTACAGGCAGTAATGAAACAAAGTACAATGCACAGAGTTACACAAGCCTTTTTCCACTCTAATTCACTCATCCACCAACCTGAACTGTAATTGTGACTGTAAATTTCTCAAAAGAGAAAGGTTCAATAGATGGTGCAATGAACATTTATGGTGGCAAGGGAATAGGGACAGAAACTACATTTTTTTCTTTAAATGTTGCATAAGAGCGAGACAGGAATGAGACAAAGTAGTACACGGATGGAGCAAATGAATCCTCTTGATATGGGCTCAGCTGGTGTGACCAAGTTCATAACCACAAAATAACCATTAGTTTCCACAAAATAACTTTTAATAGGGTACACATATCTTCACAAAAGTTGGCAAGCTTTCAGTAAACAATTACAGATCTCTTGCACACAAAAAATCAGATTTTTCAAATTAAGTAATTTTATTAAAAATTTGTATATGAATATATTGAGTGAAAGTGTCAATTACTCCGAGTGCAAAGTGATTTTCATGTTATGATAAAAAATATTTTTATTCATTTCAAAATTATAAAATTTCATATGCATAATCTCTAAAAGCTCCTAAATAAATATCAAATGTCTTTTTTTCCATATTCATCAACTTGGTTGGTCTTCCACTTAAACTTTTTAAGCCATGTTAGGAAACAACTATCTATATGTTGAATACACTTTTTGTCCTGTCACTATAGTAAAAAAAGTGTGAAATTATACAATTATTATGAATTTAGTTAATCAGTTATAAAAATTCAGAGTGGCTATTTCACATTGAAACATGTTAGTGTAATCTATAATTATACACAAACCAATTAGGCTTTCTTTTTCTTCTCAAATTCAGAAATTTAAAAAACCACCCCACCAATTTTTTCAGCTTCAAAAACTTCACAAATCATCCCACTCCCTCTTTTTCCCCACTTCAAGCACTGCTAATAACAATAAAAAGTAAAACGTAACATTTCACACCAGAAGAAAACTGACTGTATACACTTCACAATTCTAAAATAAAGTAATTATCATTAAGCCTTATTAGTGTATATACTCTGTCACAAATGTTTATTAGCCACCTTTACAACTAGAAATTCTAACTACGTACATAGTACTTCTTGTGAGGTTTGGTAAAAATGTTCATGTAAAATATAGGTATTAATACACTAACAAATCTAGGATTCAATGAATGGTGGTTGGCCCAGTAATTTGGTAGTTTGCCACTTAATTTAATTTTCATTGATAGTTTGTTGTCAGTTAAAAACATTATCTGATGACAAAAAAGCATAAAGTATACATTTCCTTATATATATATATTTTTTAACTTTAAATAATCGATGAGCTAAGTTTTAGAGTCAAATGACATTGTATGTGAAAACTGTGTAAACAAATTTCTATGTTTATGTAAGAACATTAGGCATGATTCCTTACTCTACTTTTGGTGTGTTTTTTTTCCATTTATCACTGCATGTTGCCTGACCTTTTGCTACGTTAGTAACTAATCAGGACTTAATATTTACAAAATTTGGGAACACACTTCCTTCTAGCTTAGGGACATAAAAAATCCCCCCCCCCCAACTTAAGATCCCATATCTGCAACAAAAAAAACAAAACAAAATGGAGATATGCTTATCATTAGTTCTGAATTGCTATATTCCATTAAATATATCAAAATAGAATCTCTCTTAAAATTCCAGAGCATTTGTTTGTTATTCCCATGATGGCCAATGTACATATAAGAATACAAAGTAAAAATTTTAGAATTAGAAAGAACATTTAAATTCAATGTTTTAAAAAAAAATACAATAGAAATCTTCTATCCTCAAATTCTTTAAACATAATGTATTTCCCTCAATTTAAATATTTTAATAAAATCAATCATTATATTATAGTTCTGTTAAAAAAGTCGTCCTTTGTAGTAATAGTATCGTTTTATCATAAGTTGTCTTAGAATTGTACATATTTAGAAACATTTTTTTTTATTTCTTACAATGTTTACTCTTTACAATATATGTACCTCTGTAGCTGTCTGCAATATAGGACAATTTTATGTTTGCTTAATGATGTATCACACAAGCTGCTTTACATTAGATCTAGTTAATTTAACAAACCTCAATGATACCTGAATGGTGATAAGATAACTTCTTGATAAAAGTGTACATTTCTGTTAAGTTTAAAGTACTTTTAGTGAAAAGTCCTTGAAAAACAACCAAAACAAACTTAATGGATCCATTGTGATACAACTCATGGACAGTTTGTAAACTTTTCAATATATTAAAATTTAGATGAAATTTTGTTTTCATAACTTAACAGCTGTGCATACTTGTTAGTAATGAATACACCTAAATATAGTTTAAGGGATAAGTATAAGTAGGTGTTACATTCAGATTTACAATGTGATCACTTGACAATGACAGTTTTTATCTTCAGTGCTAAATTTAAAACCAACTCTATGTAATGAAATTTACAGTCCTTGAAATTCAATCATTTAAATTTGTTTTATCACTTTCTGTGTTTATCAATATAGGGTATTTCCGCATTAATTAAATTTTATCTACATATAAGTTCTACATATACACAGTTTGTCTAACACCAATCTAAAAATATATGAATAGTTTATAGCATTAGAAGCTCTCATGTACGTTACATTTTTGCTGGTAAAATATTTGATGAACAATAATTTTTATATTCATCAAATGCAATATCTGAAATCAAAGCCTGCACTAATGTTCTTACAATCACTAATATGTACTATATTTACATATAGTTCTTTACTGTCTTTCTTGAACTAATTCAACAAGTGAAAAAACCAATTTGAGGCATCTGTCTTTTAAGGTATTGGTATGTTATTACTTCAGGGGTGTATCCAGTCCAATTTCATAAAATAACTTAAACTTATTATGTTAATATATATACTACTTCATGCTTTAATTTTACTGCTGGAACCATATCTTTGTAGGCAATTTTAATACAAATTACAGTAGGTGTTTTCTATATTAAAACTCTAATTCCCAACTATTAAATGATAAGGAACTCGGGTACAAAACTGAATTATTAATACACTTACTGGGTTATATACAAACTGATGAAACAGATCCCCTCCTTCAATACTTTTATCTAAACGGTCAGCACCACCTGGATAGCGATCCATAAATAAGTTGTGTGTGTACAGACCACATGTTTGTCTTGGAAGGACCTAAACATTGAAACAAACAGTTTTGGTATGTTTTCACAAACAGTCAATGAATACAAGCTTCATTCTACTGTCAAAGAGACACAGTAATGCTTTAAGCAAAGTAAAGACTGAAATGCAACAAGTTTCAGTTTACTGTCATAGACAGACAATAATAGTTTAGTGTAACAAAAAATGAAGTGTAACAAGCTTCACCATGTTGTAGCAGACAGATGATAACATTTTATGTACAATAAAGAATTCAGTTTAATACAGTTGACTCTATTGGTAATAACAGACTATGATGTTGTAAGTACTAACAGTTCATCACACTGTATAAAAACTGATGTTTAAGAAGCCATGTTATCCTTAGATTTGCTTCTTCCATTGATGACTGTACTTAGGTTGATGGCCATTATGATTATGCACTGCTGTCTGGTAGTACTATTTCTATTTTCACAAGCTTCTGTATGACATTAGGTGAATATCTTAGAATATGTGTCTTGACATACTTTCCACAGATCTCCAGTACTGTTCATTGACATTGGTTTCTGTTATGTATTATAATTTTGATTGGTCTGAAATTGAATTAATTGATACTTTAAAATTAGTAGTTAAATAAAAGCCAATATATAGTCAAGTTATGATATTTGCAAACAAGATCGATACACACAGTTTTCTTTTTTAACACAAATATGTTTTAATATACAAACAACAATACAATTTACAATAACTGTTATTACAAATAGTTATCACACAAAATGATTTATATACAAAAGTTTTACAAACTTACAAGCAATATAAAGTCTTCTTTCTAGTCTGGAACTTCCTTGATATCTTATCAAGGGTTCACAATGAGCGAGTTAATTACGAGTTGATGTAGGTACGCGGAGCTAGCTAGCTTTGTCCTTCATTATTCACTAGCCACACATGCCGAGTTTTCCATGAAGAAGTTATATAATATTTTTGTGAAAGTACTAATGTCCGATAAGAATCCACTGAAGTTAAATGATTTGTAATGTTCAAACTTTGTAAACGCTCTTGGTCAAATATCTTAAGTATTCCAATTAATAAGCATTATAATAATTATAGCTTCCGAAGTTTATAGCACACTGACTATAGCAAACTAATAATAGATACTACCTTTTTGGCATGTCACTTTGGTTATATTTATAGGCGTGTGGGGAGTTTCTAGAAAATTCAGATTACATAAGAATACAAAGCTACATTAAGCGTTTACATACATACATATATTGTTGATTCTTACAATCAAGAATCTTCTACAACTTTAGAGAATAGGCAGGAGTTTTGCAATACATATTTAACAGTATAAGCTATGCATATTTCTAAATATAAACTTAATCTAAACAAATGTTGATATTAAAATAAATATCTAATAATAAATCCGTCACACTTCCAACACTAAATCTAAGCAAATCAAATGCACAATAATCCACTGGAGCTGCATCAAAGGATGTGACAGGTATGTGCTCAAATGAAATCCTGTGTTACCACTTCCTTTTTAGCAATCTTTTTCATGAAAGTGTGTGATTGAAAACTCGTGAACCTATACCAACTTCATATCCTGGTTAACAATCTTGATAAAAGCATCAGAATACACACCCAGTTTCAGTATAATGGTTTTTTGGGTTGGAGAGTTCTATTTTGTAATTATAGCGTTCACTTAGCAGATAAGGACACTGTTTCAGATTACCATTAGGTGTGGTTTCATAGTCAGTTGTTGATCTAACTGCTCTTCTGCTTCAACTGGGAGTAACAATAGTTATTTTTTTTCTTCTCAAAATGTAGTGTTTTATGGCTCTACATCACTTACCAAATATACAAACGCCCTTCCTTGGAAAGGTCTATGATATGTCATTACAGCTATAAGTCTAGCTAAGGTGGCATAGTAGGTGCTAAACATATTACTTGTGGTGCCACAGATCAGCTCTGTGATGACATGCCAATGCATCAGCATATACAAATTGTCAATATAAAGTGCAATTAGAAAAATCTGTATAATACCAATCAATATTCTACAAGCATGTAGATACAATAACTCATTAAAAAATAACCATTCAACTTAGCTATATATCTTGTATATACTTTAAAGCATTCAAAGAAAGCATTTATGTGGAAATTAAGCTATTACTGAAAATGAAAATATTATTTAACCAATTTAATATGGTGAAACACTAAAATCACATTAGGTATGTAACAACAGGTAGAATAACATGCTTATACAAGTAATGAATAATTTTAAGAATACTACATTCAGTGAAAAGACTATTTATATCTCATTATTTAACCAAACAACTACATTATTTTACCATTATGTTTCTGTGAATAAATCCTCTCCTATATCGGGCAGGACGAAGATGAGGATATTCTTCTGTAGCTGTAACACGAATATTCCATATATGTTTCCAAGCCTGGTACAATATTTCATGAACAGGATATATTCCAGAATGATGAGGAGCTACAGAATATCCCGAATCAGTTTTGATACCATGGGTCTATAACAAAATAACAACAAGACTCTGTAATATTAAAAACCAAGTACTCATTGTAGCTTGTGGTGATTAGATATCAATCGCTGTCTAATCACAATGACGATTACTATGATTACTAGATGTTGATTAATAATTAGTTTATATCCTATGTCTATGTGACTAATCTGCTGCCATCTTCAGGGGAGCCAAAAAAGAACTGCATGCAGTGACAGAAGCTGAGATTCAATCCTTGGTCTTCTTGATAAAAAGAAAGGCATGCTATTTACTTGTCCAGGCTCTCACCTTATAGAACTTGAATCAATTATTATGATGGTTTCAAGAGTGTATTCAAGTTTTACTGACTACTATGTTAGGTTGGCTGAGTGTGTTATCAGTGAGTTGGATATAGAAGGCTCAATTTATCTTTTTTTTTGTATGGTTTATATCACACTATTCTAATATTATTCAAATTTATTATGTAATATTTTTCTCTGACATGATGGACCATTGCAAGTAGGTCAGTATTACAGCCTTGTATGTTTATTTTCTATTGTGCTTCAGAACTCTGACTTTTGTTAACTTTTCCCTTCTCCAACATATTTAGTAATTCTGTTTATAGTGTTTTTGCTCTCCATTGGGTGGTTTACTGTGCACTAAGTATAATCATACTTCATTGGCAATACAAAAGATTATTCTGATTTTATGGTTTTGCATATTACATGTATGTTTCATGGAGATTGTTAACATAGGGAAGTATGGTTGTGTCTCTGTAAGTTTCTTCCTGCTTATTATTCTTGAGAAATGAGAATTCAGAATCAAAACAAAGTCAGCAATCCAGAATGTCATAAAATGTAAATCTACTCCTTCTACAATATCATCCAACCAATACTGCCATCACAAATCTAACAAAAGACAAAATCATAAAAATTCTAACAGCAGACAAAGGAAAAACTACTGTAATCTTGGACAATGAAGAATATAAAAAAGCTATAGTCTAATCCAATAACTAACCCAGAAAAAGGTTAACAAACTTCTCAAGAAACATGAAAAGGAAACAAATAACTAAGAGTTGACTACAGCAAAACCCTATACATTTGGTCTACCTAAAAACAAATAAGATAACATTCTCCACCCAATGATTCACTGTGGAGATTCATCATTCCACCTTTTAGCAGATATTTTGTACATGTAATATCACCACAAAAACAACACAACAGTGATGACCTCCAATGATACAATAACCAGTTTTGATATATTCAACCTATTCACTAACGTACTGAGTTTTGAAACACTAAATATATTTTAACAACAGCTTGAAAATGATAGATCACTCAAAGAAAGCACCCAACTGATAATCTCTAAAACAAATTCACAACTTTTTTGTTTCAACACACCTTACTTCCAAAATAAAGGAAGATACTATTAATAACAAAAAAGGCCTAGACATGGGATCATGTAGAAACATGTAGATGGGACAGTTTAAAGATGATGTTCATGTAATTGCCACTCTACAACCAAAGATTTGAATCAGGTATGTTGACACATTTATAATATGGTCACACAATAAAGACAAGGTTTCAGAATTCATGCACTACCTGAACAAACAACATCCAGTCAAATAATTTATGATATAAACAGAAATATAAAGCTCTAATTCCTAGATCTGATAGTCACCAAGACATATCGTATATCACAGCCCACAGAGACATGCAACTCGATTGTAGATTAAACCAACACAAGCAACCCGAAGAAGGGCATCATAGACCTCCCAGCCTCCAAAGTGAAAAGATTTATGACACAGATAATAAGAAAAATGAAGAACAACACATAACTGTATCTCACCTTGACAAAGAACAAAATAAGGAAGAAACATCTCAAGAATAAGCATGAAGAAAATTACACACAAATATGCAAATAATATAATCAGAACAATCTTCAGAAGTTGCAACCCAAAACAACCAACATTAACACACACCAAACCACCTAAAGACCAAATGAAGAACAATAACCCTGTATATCCCTTGTCAACGTGGAAATCAAAACAATAGAGAAAGGGGGAAAAAAAGACAACTAGATAAAATCAGAATTCAGAAACACAACAGGGATATAAGGCTCTCTAATAATGATTTATTTGCAATAGCACATAAAGTCAGAAAATATCATATAATAAATGAAACAATAACAATAATGGGATATGAACCATACATAAAAAAAAATCTATATCCAAGCTAAAAATAACACATTAAGACCACCTAGCAGAGACATTAGTAAAACCTGGATACTCCTCTTCAAACCATCGAAATACCTGGTTTGAATAACATAAGAGCAAGAGCCCAGACAAATGGACAGCACACTTACCTTTAAAGCAAGAAAATCTAGGATGAAATCCCAGAAGGTGCCACCATACAGAGTCCTTTCTAGAACCCTCCTGAAACTGGAAGCAGATTAGCAGACAAAAAGAAGGATATGAACAATTCAATAATTATTACCTATTAATAATAAAAATAAAAAGTAATTCATAAGTAGTTAGACTTATGTGATCATATAAACTAATAGTCACTGCAATGCTTACACACCAAGTTTTATCTCTCAGACTTTCAATACTTCTGAAGTGCTTCAGTTGTAAAGATATATTAAAGTTTAAGTAAAACAACAAAACAAGAACAAAAAAAGGAGATAAAGTTCTATGATGACATTTTAACTGACTAATAAATATGTCACTCAAAATAACAAAATTATAATCTAAGTTTTAGTATTATAGTTATTACAAGGCAAAACCACACATATAAAATAATTTCAATCTCCCTCTTTTCATGACCCTTAAGTGAATCAGAGTTCAAAGCAAAGCTTTCCTCAGTGGATCTGCTCATGGCAGCAAAATTTAAGGGGATCAGAGATGAAACAGTAATAAGGAAATATTAAAAACAGAAAATCAGTTTCAACAAAGTGAAAAAAGAAGTAAAATTATGGAAAAAGAACACTGATTAAAACGAAACATAGCAAAATTTGCAGTGTCATTAATGTCATAGCTGTAGATAGGCATTGTGTAACATTTCAATAATACAATGTTTATTGTTTCTTGAGATGTTCTCAGCACTTTCTTATTGTTGTTACACTTTCAGAGTTTAGACTTGAATGTGGTGCCTACCATGTAAGAAGTAAAGTAACAGAGAAAATTCAAGAACAATCTCCCTCTTTATTGTGTCCCCCAATGGATCAGCAGTAAGTATAAAGACTTAGAACACTCAAATCTGGGATTTGATTCCTTGTGGTGGACATTGTGCATAACCCTTTATGTAGCTTTGCACTAAAACAAAAAACATCTTCCTTTACTAGAAGGTTCTAAATCTAGATAATTTCTGGAGTGTTTATCATCTGTGATATAAATATCTGTGGCTGACGGACATTGTTTTTGTCACTTGAGTGCAGTGTGGATCAAACAGAAAGTAGTGTTTCATTTATTATTTTTAAATTTGACTCATTAGTCTATTTATTAGTGTATAATCACAATATGTCAGCAGTAGATGTTGCCTGTCTGGCACTGAGTATAAGAAACAGAACACATCAAGGGATAATTCAGAAAAGAAACATAACTAACACTGCTTGAATGCCACCTGAAAATCCTTCAAGTGTTTAGAACTATCTTGAAAGTCCTAATTAGTGAATGTACCTCTGAACCTAGCCCTAATTTGCATACTTCTAGTTTTAGGTCTTTGAAGTCTAGCTGGTAAATGAATGAAGAGAAAACACAAACGTCTTTGCTCATTGGTTCAGTACACAAAATACAGAGTATTACTTCCACTGCAAACTCTTCTGATAATAGCACAAATTACTAGAAAAATATACAAGTATCAAACAAGCATGTCACCTAGTATTCAGAAAACATATGAAAAATGAAATGAGCTTGCTACACTTAGGAAAGAAACAGAACAATGATTTAAAGTATCAGCTTGTAACTTTACCTGAAACCAAGCACTAGTAAGATATTTTAAGGAGACTTCTAGTTATTATACAGTACTTGGCCTAGCAGCGTCTTCCACTACGAGGAAATTCAAACCTTCTAAACAGACATAAGAATGGTAATTTTCTGAAGTTCATTGAAGTTTTGACGTGTTTGATGTTGTAATAAAAGAACATTTATTGAAGGTGAAAATGCAAGAAGCTAAAGATCATTACTTTGGAAAAGGAATTCAAAAATCATTCACAAGTTCATGAGCTTGGTAAAATATATAGTATATAATGTATTGGATCGTACTCAGGATATTAATCACAAAGAACAGATGACAATGATTGTTCAATTTGCCTGTTTTTGCTAAAGTCAAAATTACAGTACGCTTTATGGAATTCACTAAAAAATAAAGACTGAATATGCACCGGTATAATTGAGTTGCCACTGCAAAAACTTCAAGAATTAGGATTCAATCTTGAAGCCTACAACAGTAGAGTAAATATGAAAGGAAAGAACAGTGAAGTTCTGGTGCTACATCCACAAGAATTGTTTATGCCATCTTATGCTCGCTCACTCAGTCTTTTTGATAATGATGGTTCAATATCTTTTTTCAAAGTTTTAGCTTTTTTTTTGTGAGATTCAAAATTTGTCTTTTCTTCTTGGTCTACACATGTTCTCAAGATGTTTGTAACAACATTAACTATTCAAGCTACTCTCATACACTCAACAGGTGAGTAACCTAGAAGCTGTGCATACTAATTGTTCTTAAGTTACAAAGGTGTACATTACTTTAGCAGCTAAAGTTCAGCTAAAGAAAATAAGCAATAAACTAGGCACCAGCTGAAAGGTTTTAAGTGTTACCTGAGCAAACTGAAGGTTCATGGTCATCTCCATTTCTAGGACAGAAATGTTATCGTAGAGGTGTGGCTTAGTGTGGCTCCACATGTGGCAAAACCACCAGAACTTGGAATGATGAGCTTTCATATAACATGGAGAAACAACGTTTTAAAAAAATGATTTTTGAAATGAAAGAAACATATGAAGAAAAGAGTACAAACAAAGGTAAGAAACATACTGATAAATAAGTATTAAATATAGCTTAGTTGAAATCACATTGTTTAGCATGAAACAACAGATTTGAAGTATAAAAACAACAGAACAAATGCACATGATGATTTGCAGTGGGTTGAAACACAGATTCAAACTGTTTTTAAGGCCAGTTTCATGATTAGTAAAATTAAAATATTGAACAGATTTAAATAGTAGTTCTCAAGTCTCCATCTCATTTTTTTCAGTTCATTATTGTATAAGTTGTTGCTTATTTTATCATGAAATTACTTTTATCTTTGCTTTAACAAACCTTCTTTTGATGTTTACTTTACGTTTTTGCACTTAATTTTATTCTAATTTATTAGAACACATTACTAAGATCAACATCCTTTAGGAAAAAAAATACTGAGAATTTGAATAAACTTTAAGAAATTGTAAATTCCATCTCTTTACATTAACATATTACATCTAACCATTGTCCTTTTAATTCAGGTTTAAACCAATATACTACTCTGTTTGTGTTACTCTTATTTTCAGTTAAAAATAAAAACAGAAATGTGATTACTTCCACTACTCTTTCATTTATTTCAAGTACAAATTATCACAACGTACAGACACCGTTTCTTAAATCATTGTCTCACTCTGTTCTTTTATTCTTAGCATTAGGGAACTCACCAAGAAGTATGTCATCTCCTTCATTTTCCTCCTCAGTTCCTCTATGATAAAACTTTCCTGAGAAACCCAAGTTAAAACGAAAGCCAGGAACTAAGTTGTTGATCTGTTCTTGGGTATGTAGTAATGCCTGAAGAAAACAAACATTTAAGTAGTGTGCTGGCAAACAATACACAACTAAGATTTTGAAGTTTTTTCAAGCATTTTAGTTTTAATGTCACCAAAACTTAAAAATGTTATAATTTTAAAACACTCCACATGTTTGTTAGGCTATACTCGACAATAATACATTCACGATTATATTACATAAAGATTTTGCATGTACACATTTTTATAAGTATATTAAACTATTAAAAATATAATTTAGCAAGCAGCTACTATGCTTAAAATATATCGTAATTATGCATTTTCAAGTTTACTTTGTTGAAAATGTTAGTATAATTTATTGCTTCCTGTTAAATTGAAGTTCATCCTTATGATATGTTTTTGTACATTAAGATTAACTTCCAATCAGAGCAGGCCACCTACTTAGAGTGAAACTAAAATTTAACCTTGTATCGCTAATGACTATAGCTAATTAAATATAATTTTCATAGATTCTTATTTATCTTATTTAGAAAGCACTGTTTTATCATTTGGATACTCTCACTGTTAATGATACTTTTGGCCATAATCCCAATAATATTTCTCAAGGTTCAGGAGATTTAGGAGATTTAATTTAATCCTAAACACATACACTAAGATAACAATGCAAAACAATCTTTATAATGAAAATATAATAATAAAAAATAAAATAAAAGGTAATCACACTAGATATATTAAAATTCCAACCAATGCTGTTAATGAAAGTAATTACAAAGAAATAATAGGGTATATCACACCTTTGGAACACAAAAACTGTAGCATTCAGCCCTCCATAATGTCAAATGTCTATTCAACAGACATTCATATTGATAGAGATAACATGCGACCCTTGCTTATTTTACTGCTAGTTCATAATGTTTTAATCTATCACAGCTATTCCAAAAGATTAGATATAACAAAGATTCTTGATTTTGATAATAAAAGTCTTCAACTTTGTGGAATGAGAACAGTGTGTGTCATATTTAATTTTTATAATTGGTGTATCTGTGAAATAAAATCTACTTTGTTCTAGGCCTGCCAATAATCCTGCTAATGATACAATTTATATTTTTATATAGTAGAGCTGTGTGACAGACTCATATAGTCTGAATAATTGTCTTACATCCCTTAATCGTATATAAAATTTTAAGCAAGATAAGTCCATCGTTTTAACTTTTATATAGTAAATACTCTGAATTTCTTCATTAAACTAACCACATAAAAAATCTTGAAGATGAAGGAAAGTTCAAAGACTCATGCTCATTCAGTTTTTTACCCCAAAAATAAATCAGGAACAATACACGTATGCAGAAATAAACTGACAACAGGAAACTTTACCTGTACATCTACTGGCTTCATTCGAGTTCCTTTTTCCCCCACAAAGATGTCATCAATATCAACTTGCAGGTATCGATAGAGGGGTAGACTAAGCTTTCCATGAGAGAGCCAGGAAACACTATCAAGAAAAAGAAGTTTGTGCAGCCAAAATTCAAAGCCATTACCGAACAGTACCCGCTGTATCCCATCAAATCGTCCATGATCCTATAATTTAAAAAAAAAAAAATTTTTACAAAGAAATAATAATTACCTTAAAGTTTTAAAATTTAAAAAAGTATCTTTTTTGTGTGTAAGAAACAGAACAACAAATCCAACACGAAAAACAGCTGCAGACTATAATATTTAGCCAAGGAGACTGAAAAATTAAAATGATACCAAATATACTTAAAAATTTTGTTATTTAGGTTCAATAGTTAACTGATGCAAATAGCACATTAAAGGTAGACACAAGAATAAAAACACAACACCCTGGAAAATACTTCATAATGTGGAGTTTGGTCTCATGCTGTAAACAATTTTTAAGTGCATAACATTCAGTTTGGTTAGTTGGAGGAGTGTGTGTGTGTGTGGGTGGGGGGGGGTCGGG